CGATTTTCCTTTATATTAAAATAGTAGTCCCCTCTGCCCTTAAGATACAAGTGGTCCACCCATCTCCAAATTAGTTGTGCTATGTAGTGCAGATTTATGACAGATAGCAACAGTGTACTTAACAGCCTGTGCCTAAAACTGAATTCTAGGTTCTATGCTGGTGATAAACACCTGAAAGTCAGAGTAGCAGTTCTCGGTCTTTCAGCACTGCCTTCTATTCAAACTAGCCTAAGTAGAAGCAGAAACAGTCTCTTACCTAGCTTTCATTCTAAGGAACAGGATTCAGTTATTTACAACATTTTGTAATGTATACTATATAGAATACTTTAACCTATTGCACTTAAAAATCTTCCTGTGATCTCTGAATGGACCTCTGAAGTCAACTACCTGTTGCATGAAACAGTTTACCCTCTTGTTCTCTGAATACTGCTGATACTTAATTCCCTGTACTGGTGCCTCTGTTCTTGTATTATCAGGTAAGATAATACAAGTTGTGTTGTTTTAAGTCTAAGTATACAATCAAATCCCATCAATTAGTATGCAGCCAATACATATTCCAAAACTATTTTTATGGAAATAATGTACTTTGTGAGAGAGAAAACTAACATAAAACTTTGCAGATCTTTCACAAGACAAGGTATCGTGTTTAACCACTCAATGATGTTAAATAAAACATATAACAAGCTACAGACCTTAGTGTCTCCCTCTTGGAAAATTTTACTCCTTTCTTTTTTGTTTGTTTTAGAAATCAAGAGATAGCATTGCAGTAAACATTTCACTGCCACTATACTTTCAACAAGCAGGTTTCCTTCATTACGCTTTTAGCCAAACACATAAGCGCATGCAGAAGCCAGCGGAGATGGGGGAGAGAGAGAGAGATTGATTGATTCTGGTAATAAAAAGTCTGAGATACAAATGAGGATAAAAAATGGGCCCAGTGCATAATACTACCTATGTGTAATTTTATGAATTAAGAGACTCAACTTTCATTGGTCAATCCATTAGTTTTACATTTTTTTACAGCACTTTTAAGATACAAGCTGAAGGCAGAATATTTCTAAAAATGTAAGTGAAGCCAGTATGATCTAATAATTTCTTAACTGAACTATTCCTACTAAAAAAAAATAAATTACTACGTTTTGTGACAACTGGATAACAAGTAAATTAAAGATGTATTACACACATACTATACTGCACAACTGTTAAGTCAGCATCATTCCTAATTCATAATTCTACTCTTAGAAAAATTATTTGAGTAGTGCTGCTAACGTTTACAAAAATTGCAGGCATGAAGCTAACTTGTTTTCATGAAGGGGGAAAAAGTTTATTGCATATTGTGAAATTCAAAGAGAATATGAATTTATATTTTATTGTTATACCATTAAAAAAACTTAAAAATTCTTTCTAGAAACATTGCTAGAAACATTATGCCAATTTAGAGCATTAAAGCTTTACTTCTCTTGCCACAAGGGAATCACTTTTCAGAGAAACTCACTTTGATTTAACTGAATTGAACCAAAGGCAGCACCTCATTCTAGACAAGAGGAATTGTTATGGTTCTGACTTGGGCTAAGTAGGTATATAGTACTACTATTACCATATAATGCCTGGAGTTCAACGTAGAAGTTTTTTAAAACTTTTTGCCCATTCCTCTCAAATAGGCATCAGTTGATCACAACCACAGTTTCACCAGGGCAACTGGTGACAATAAAAAAGAACAGGTGAAAAGAAGCTTTTCCCAATTATTGGACTCTGAAATGCAAAATAGCTTCTACAAGGATGTTTTATATGAACAAAATCAGGCAGCAAATCCTACCTCGAATTCTTCACAATGCAGAATACACAGATTCCAAGTTTCTCTTCTGCTGGAAGATCTTTTACTTCTTCGATCAAAGACCGTCTATGTAATAGCAGAAAAAAATCCCTGATAGTATGCTTACTTTCCTTTTTGGCAATCCTAGCTCTAGGAGTGCCAATTAATCCATTCCAGAGTTTTTCTCAATAATTAAAATTGTAAGGAAATGTTTTATGATGAATCTACAATGTCTATTTCTGAAAAACAGATTTCAGAAATTGTTTATATCAGGTTATCTTTTCTTTTATCTTTTGTTGTACCTTTGTCAGAAGGCATGTTCAGCTGAATTTCCACAGTATTGATTCCATTTCTCTTGTCTCTGTGTTCCTGGTGTCCTCTGAAGGTCCAAAGCTATTTGGTGATGACTTGGACATATAAAATTAAGAAGCTCTGAACTTCATGCTCAAGAATCAGCTTAAGAAAAATATTTTCTTGGAATAAGAACTACAGAAATACATGTAGACACAGGAAACAATCTTGAGATCCTATCAAAAGTGTCGTCCTTTTTCCCCCTGGATATGAGACATCATGCAATACATTGCTCCTTTTCTTCCCCTTGATTAAAACTAATGGCAGGCTTTTGGACTCGATTTAACGATATCTCAGTTTGGGAGATTTTCTATCATGTCATTTAGAGGTCAGCATGTTGTTTACTCATAGCAGCCTTTCCCATTTTCCAAAATAATAGCAGATGATATTGAGCATTGCTAGACATACATCCTGACATTAAGCTGTATTTCTGAATAAAGAATCTCTTACCAAGTTAGAAACTACACTACAAATCCTTTATGGATCCCAGAGAATCTCCAATCCCTCTTTGCCTCTTCAAATAGCAAGAATTGCCACAGAGATCTTCAGTTTCAACTGATTTGTTCCTTTGGATCTGCCATTGGCTCAAACGGTCTGTTCAAAAATACACAGGGTGCTATTCTGCCACACCAGAATGTATTCGTATCTTTTTTTAAAACCTTCCATTTGTAGCTTAAAAGAGGGCAGTCCAGGTCTTGCTCTGCATGTTTCATAAACATGACATGCTCTTCAGCTGGAAATTTTGAAGTGCATCACAAGTGCATCCGGTTCACCAGGCAGCCAGGTTATCCACATTTTAGATAAGAAAATCTTCCCTCTGGACAGAGTATAAAGGACTAATTTCTTGTTAAGTCTCACAGTGCCACCCTGATACTTCAGCTAACAGACTCTTTACTACAAACTGCAAAGCCATCCTTTCTGGATAGTGCTAAGTTTCATGCACTTAATACACCAATTTTCTTCTTCAGTTGCAGTAGAATCTAATTCCATGATCACTAATTGGTACTACAGCCTGACAGCTTCAGAAAAGGCAAAATAGTTTTTGGAATCTGATTGAGCAGGAGGCTCATACATATTGACCAGCCACCAGCCACAATATCTTGGTTTGTATTTCTTTCAGAGACAGTGATCTCTCCAGAATATGAACAGGACAAACTGCTGAAGTTGCAGGCAAAGCAAGAAGAGTCCACCTTCCCCAGAAGTGTCTTACTGACTTCATAATCCATAAGAACACATTCACCATTTTTGCTGATGTGAACTATCACAGCTGGATTCTTTGGAAGCAAAGTGTCATTAAACTGAAATGCCTGTTGATCCAGTGCTTTTTTTTTTTAATTTCATACAGATCATTCAGAAGAATGGCTGGTTGAGCGAGGACGGCATTTGTCTTGCATCTGTTAGCACTAAACTTAACTTTTTGTTCCTGTATCAGCTTAGAAAAAAGTGTCTTTGTATCTGCATGAGTATAGTATTTACTTGCTTATTCTGTATTGATGTTTTGATGATAATCATGATAAAAACAGTGAGGCTTTCATATAATACAGTAACAAGGCACAACAAATCGCATAATACGTATCAGGTGTTTTTAACAACACGTACTTGATTATCTTTAAAACAACTTGTCTGCTGGTGAAGCCAGACAGCAATTATTTATCTATGACAGAAAAACTGGTAAGCATCTTTTTTCTTAAAAAACTTTTTTATAAGATCTTTTGCCTGTTCACACATGGAGACTAGAAAAAAACTTTCTATTGCTAAGGATAAGTAAGGTCTAGGAATGATTGCTTGAGATGCTGAAGCTTTAAAGAACAAATTAGACACGCAGCAGCAAGGTATTGCTTACACACAGATCCTCCTGCTTCAGGACAAAGTGACTGAATAGGTGATGCTCATTAAGAGAACATTCACATCAGGTCTAGAACTTGGCCCACAGTGAGACAGAGTGAACTGTCATCTTTTTATGAGATCTTGTCAACTTCAAAGGATTCTTTTAAAACATAGAATAAATAACTTTACGTTCTCAAGGCTGATTCCATATTGCAAAAAATTTCAAGTCCATCTTTTTGATACTCATCCATTAATCAATTATAATAATATGCTGAAGCCTAATCTTTACATAGTGGGTCATGGCATTAATTTGACAGTATTTTATAAATGCTGGTTTTATCCCACGATGATGTGAATTCTAGTTTATCTTAACATTTTCCTCCTTTTTTTCTCATCCTAATTAGAACTGAACATATTTTTTCTTTTCAATTCTTGCTAAGATGGTACTATACCTTATTACAGAAGACTATAATGAAGCTGATATGGAAGTATTTACAACAGTATATGCATTTTGGCAGGTAGTGACCTAAGCCGGAGCTTTGGGAATTAATAATGAACTTCAGATATCCTAAACCCACCTGTATCTAGACAGGTAATTAGTAATCATAATGTGATGGCCATCTTCATAGAGTCTTTCCAGTTTCACTGACAGAAAATGGGTCAGACTAATCAGTGAAGCATTTTGCAGCCTGGACACCTAAGTAAGTTTATTATTTTCATTTTAAGGTGAGAGATAATTAAGGATTCTTTTATTATATAATTTATGCTTATATGTTATGTAGCCTTTGCCTACCTAGACTACACATCATTGTGGTCCCAGATTGGTACAGTGATTTTAAAACTACGCTGAATATGGCTGCAGATTGATCATGCAAAATCTGCCCCCCCCCCAGCTGATTTTTCCCCACTTGTGCACAGTGCAATGCAAAAAAAGAAAAAAGTAAATAAAACCAAGAAAGTGTGATGGGCGAGCAGGTCGACTGTGTGAGAGAACACGTGCAAAGTATACCTCAGAAACACTATAGGTGGATGAGCACGAAGGGAGCCGAGCCTGGTTGTGCAGTGGGGAAAAGAAAACATTGTTAAAAAAGAAATGGTGGCACAGTAAGGATCTCAGAAGGTTTTCTGTATAGGTGGTTCCAGGACTGAGATAGTAGCAGGGGGTTCATTAAGTTTCCACGACCAGCTATTTCAGAAACTCCAAATTTATGCCTTTTAAGGTGGAAGCTTCTTAAAAGAAAAAAAAGTATTGTATTTATAAAATAGAACTACTGATGAATCTGAAGACAACTATCAATCCTTCCTCCTCTAAATAACTGACAACACTATCCTAAGTACAACAAGGTATTTTAGGATGAAGCTTTCATTCAAAACTATTAGTTTTATTCTGACTCTGCAAGGGTACAATGTAAAAATCCATTAGAGGCCCTATTCTTTACTGTACATCTTTATGTTTTCAGATGCTCAGAACCAGCATTATGACAATGGAGGTTCTCCTTCAATCTCACTGTCCCCAAAACCAGAATAACTTGCAAAGTTAAATGACTAGTGGCCAGATATAGGTCAGTAGAAATCTGCAGATTATGTCCCCATGCAATGTAAAGCGTTGTGATTCTGGAAGGACACTGTCCACTCTCGAAAGCTTTCAGCACTGCCACAAGTTACTTGGTAACAGTACAGTTTTACAGCTTGCTTAAGAAAACACTTTGTTTATACAAGATACCCATTTTTCTATACTATTAATCATTCAGACTCAAGTATTAAAAAAGGACTCTCCAGTTATTCATAGAATTTCTTTTCCTAACAAATCTGAAAATCCTTTCTTTGGTGGACATTTCATATTTCAATTACAAAGAGTAGTCTGAGTTTTGGGTTGGTTTTTCTCCCTAACTTTTTTTAGATTAATAATTATCTGAGGACAACTGAGAGTGAAGAAAGAGTAAAAGTAGCCTAATAAATGAAATTTAAAAAGACATGGTTCTTATAAATGCACCTCTTCTAGAGGTGGAAAAATTAACTATCAGAAGCCCCAGCAAAACTTCCTTAGCCTTCAACAAAATTAGTATCTGTAGAGCAGTCTGAATACATTTGTGGTAAAGATGAACACAGCAAGAATTTCCAGATAAATTTTTAGTGACCACTTGCTGACTTAGGTATTATGATGGACTGAACCGAGAGCTTGGTACCCATAAAAATTGTCTCAGGCATATTCTTCAATCTCAGACGTGTATTTCATAGTTCTTCATTGAAATATAAAATATCACTTCTAGGAAAATTTTACAGCCACATTTGTCTGTGTTCATTTATGTCTCCATTATATACATCTATACAGCTGTTCTGACAGACCAAAAATTGTTTCTAGACACATTGCTTTGAAAGCTTTGTAAGAAAGGTAAGGTGTGCTTTTGCTTAGAACAGGGGTTCTGCTATTCACCTAAGACTTTTGGATGAGTCTGTATTCACGATTCTCATAAATAATGTCCAACCATTGTTCCCATGGTTTGTCTTGCAACGGCATGGAAAAAGAAGAATCATTAGCTTCAGTTTTGCAGGTGAGGATCCAAAGAATGAAGTAACAGCAAGAAACATGACAGCAACAGTTTTTTAAGTATCAGCAACTAGATAAACTGAAACAACAATGATGAGGAGGTTTGGAATCATACTCCACAAAGTTTGGAAGAACTTGTCTCATCTCGTCTACTCCTCACACTAACTTACAAGGGGTATGCTAGATACCTGTGTACTACTTTAATCTTCTCTTAGAAAACTGCTGTAAGTAGAATGCTATTACTTTCCTTGTCAAATTGTCTTGTGATCTAATTATCCATATTTTCATTAATATCTAGACTAAATTTAGCATTTAACTTCAGTCTTACTCCTATTAGTATTTAATCACTTTAAATCATTCTGTACTTCCTTTTTCATAGTTCCAGTTGTATAGAGACAAATGATATTTCCTTCACTAATATGCCTACATATTTTATTTCTCCCTAAGATCAAACACACACACACACACACACACATGCTTTTCCTTAATCTCTTAATCTCACTTACTCCAAACTCTTTTTTTCTTAGTCATACATGTTTAGACTCTCAATTTACCTGTGTCATAATCATGAAATGTCTAAAAATGATCTAATGTTCTTCAGGAAAGGATTATGCTCATACCACACTTCTGCACATAGTGATTGTTGTTTGTTTTATTTTCAGTAGGATCACACACTGAGACTGTTTAATCTGCTGCACGCTTATCATTTCCTGACCATTTCTATGTCGTTGCTTTCTTGCTAACTAGTCTCCATTTTTGTGCATCTGCCCGATTTCAGCATTTTTAAAGTGTATTGCTTCTGTGTTATTAAAATTAAATGTCAATACTTTTCCAAGTTCCTTTGAGATTCTGCAATCTATCACCTACTCTGCTTACAATTTGTCATCATATACCAACTTTAGTTATTGTTTCTTCCAGTTTAAGAGAGGGGGCAGCTCTCCTTATTTTGTATGCTACCTGACAACCCTTACATGCTACGTTAGGTGAAGCTAGTGTGCTAATGTTTGAGCTGATGGGCTCTTTCCCCCATTAACATGTAAATTACAGGGCCACATTGTCAATCACAGAAATTCCTCACTGTGAGAACTATGTCAAAAGAGCTATGCCTATTTACACCAACTGAAAACCTGGTTCAAAGGCCACAAGAGCAATTTGTTGTCAGTCTGAGGGCCTTACTGGCTTGACTCAGATCTTTAATAATGGAATATTGAGACCAGAAATAAAAGCCCTGTAAATGTAATACTTCATCATGATCAAAGAAGGCAGCTACTTAAAGTAAGATAGAACACTGCAGGCACGAGACTGCAGACTCTGAGAGATACGAATCTGTATGAAAAATGATAATCCCAGTTTTATTAAACATAATCTATGAGCAGTATCTGACCTCTGCTATGAATTCTGAGAACATTTTTCTTGAAAAAAAAACAAAACAGAATCTTTGATTTGGAACCATGCTGGTCAAAAGCTGCACAAAAATCGTTTGTTGTATTACTTGGGAACTCCATGTAGAACTTCTATACTTAGATTTAATTTTTTTTTGTGATGGGCTTTCCCTAATATTTTTCTGCAGAATTTAAACTTGCATTTAAAATTCTTAGCAGGCACAATTTTAAAAAAATAAAAATCTTGAAAACACAGATTAAGGCAGTATTGTTTTGTTGAATTTCGGCTGTAGTTCACACTTTCAGGAAGGGATCAATTTTAGCAGATATTAAGAGTCCTAAAATATAAACTAGTCAGCTGTTTCACTGCTGATCATCTCAGCAGCTAATGTACTTATTCGCTACTGTTATGCTAATTTGAACAGTAGGGGAATGCTAACATCCCCAAGTGACAGAAGACTAATTTTTCTAAACAAGATTTAAATTCAGCTTCAAACACAGGTCCCTGGGAGGGGTCAAAGGATTAAGCCATGAAAAGAACTGGAATAGTTGCAAGGAAGATGAATGAAGATCTCAAGAAGAAATGGAAAAACAAATCTCAGGTCAGGATAACTGTTTTAGTAAATGCTCATGCGTTCCCGCTGGTATTAAAAGTAGTGTTTTAAAATGAAAACTCTCAAATGCCCCAAACTGCTTCATTAACTAAAATTTTCATATTTTCAGTGCAATTTTAATTTAAATATCTGGCAGGCTTTCTAAACTTTTGGTGAAATGTGAGATATTCTGCAGAATTCCAATGTTTCCTACACATTTCCAACGGCCTTTGAATTTAATCTGGAAAGTATGTCTTTGCAATTCATTCTGAAACAAAGGTTCCACCTTAATAGTATACACAATTGTGCAACAGCATTTCATTTTCACGTAAGAGGCTGGCCATCAGATACTATACGCTCCCCCTCCCTCCCCATTTAATACATCTGCCACATTGTAGGAGTATTAACAATCTACAGCTAAACTCCCTTCCAAAAGCAGTATGGAAGAGAGGAAAACTATTTTAAAGATTAACTATTAACAGATCCTTCACTATTTTCTTTCAAATTGTCCCCTATTTAGTAAAGGTTTGCTCTATTTTTTGATCAGGCATTTGTATGTTGTCTTTTAAAATGTTGCCTTATCTAAACCATCCATTATTACAGCATGAATCAGAGCAGCAGTGACAAAGCAGCAGATTTTAGTTATATGTTATTATACTTGCAATGTTCCCTGCTTCTTTCAAGAAACTTACAGGACATATGCAGAATATATGGAACAATCTGACTTCCTTACTTACATTGTATAGGTTAGGGCCATGAAATAACAGATAAAGTGGCACAGAGGAACAGGACAATTTCATGACAACTAATCTGTCATGGCTAATGGGGTCACAGATTTTCATTTGAAACCCTTCCCCATGTGACATTCTGTGAAATAATGCATGTTTAGAATACCTTTTTTGTAGTACAAGTTTCACGGCATTTTTTTTTCTGGCTTTACATTTATTCGCTAGTACTAAATCATGAATTTGAGGGTAAGCAGTCTAAAATAAAGGAACTTGCTTTGTCTTGATTATGACTAATAAATTTGAGTTGCCACCCAATCTAAAATATAACATGGTTTATTCCCCCAAAAACTTGATTCTTAAAGATTTTCCCAGGAAAAGACACAGTCCTTTAATCAAATTTATTTTATAGAAAGCTGCAATATATTAGCAGCTCAATTTCCTTGCATTTGACCCACAAAAAATTATGAACTCAGGGACTTCTGTTTGACAATGAGCAGAAATCAACTTTATGTCGTATACACAGTTGGATATGAAAAAGCATCCAAAAGGGGTAAAAAAATATCAAATCATCATCATTACCAAAATTATCTTGCACTATGTAACAATAGTTATGGTTAATAGATTATGCATTACAATGATAGTGCTGAGAATGACAACAGTCACAGTACATGGTAGACACAAACAGAATATGAACCTAAAGACATTATTCTGAGGATTTTCAGTGGATGGATGTGCAACGGGATAAATGGTTACTAACTTTCACATCGACTATGCTCACAACTGTCCCTTTTTGCTAATTTTCATTATACACTAAACTATGTGGCTTAAACTTACTTCTACAGAATTGCTGAAAAGCTGATCTTATTTTATTAGGTGAACTATTGAACACGAAGTACTGCTGTCTGTATTGTTATGTTGGATTTGACTTGCTTTATTAAGCATTTCTGTAAAAACTGGGCAACTTTATAGGGGTGTCATGACTGATACACTAGCTCCTAATACTTTTTTCACAATTCCTTTCATTGAAGAACAAATCTAATGCACAAGTAATATGCTGCAGATTTTTTTTGTATGTCTGCTAAAAAAACAAGTAACAAAATTTGTGTAGCTGGTATTCAATGAAATATTAACCTATTTCGCGAGATAAAATAGGGACCGCAAAAGACTAAAGGCAAAGACAGAAGTACATGTGAACCTATATACTTTTGGGTTACCTTCTATCAGCCATAGTTTTCACTTCAGATAAGGCTATCAATCACTGGCAGAAGATATTTTTATCCTTTAAATTAAGGACATCTGTATTATTTGTTGCTAAGTTTCATATTCAGGAAACTTTTTAGATATGCAACTTCAATTTTGGAAAGGGATTTTTTTTTTTAGTTGCTGTAAAGCCAAGCAGTTTGATTAGCATTCATTAAAATGTAGTAGGATATTCTTTTAAACAAACCCTGTCAATTAGGTCAGGTTTCTCACACATATTAAAATGAAACCCCAGCTAGAAAAGAAAGAAAATACAAAGGAGAAAGAGAGAGAGAAAGGAAAAAGATGAGGATGAGAGGACAAACCAATCAGATTTGGTGTTACCAGCCAGCAGAAGTTTTAAAAAAAACAGATCACCGAGTGAAATCGTACATTTACTCGGAGAGAGCATCCTTTGACATTGCCTTCTAGGTGATCTCTGAGCTCCTCCAGCTTTCGATGGAGCTACATGTAAACATCAGAAAGTGAATTGAAAAAGCAACCTGTTCTCTTGTTACTTTTTTTTTTGTTTGTTTGTTTTTGTGTTTGTTTTTGCTTTTAATAAATCATAGCATAACACATTTCTCACTGCCTCTGGCAAAACATTTCAAGGCATTTAAGTGCTTTGAACAACACAGACATATAAGCTCAGTATACTTGGAATCTGGAAACAAGGTATTTTTGCTTGATTGACATAGCTTTTTTCTCAGCACAGGAAAAAAATTTGAAAAATCAAGGGACATATTTCTAAAGCTACTGAATCTCTGCTATATTGTTCATTTATTTATTTATTTGCTTGTTTACTGGGTAAGGCTGTGTCCTAGAACTTATTTCCATCAAATATAACTTTTTAGAGGTAAATTTTCATGTTTGGGAACGTCAATTAGGATTTTCCATATAAGATTTTGCAGCTAAACATATATATTTTGGGTAGTGAAATTAAATTCTGGGAAATCAGGTACAGAAATAACAATCCTAAATTTGGTGTCAGTGGGTGTTCATAAAAATAATAGGTGAATCCCACCACCTAAATAAGCTACATCTTCTGCATATGTTTATGCATTAAGCATCTAGAATTGTAAGTGATGACCCATTAAAATGCACAGATCACAGTAATTACATGCATAATTTTCAAAAACAGCATAGAAACTGTGACTGTCTTATATTTTCCTCCATGTGAATTCAGTGGTCCTGAACATCTTCCACTGAAACAGTGCCTCATTCATGTACAGTGCTGCTCTTATCTACGCTGTAACTAAAACCTCTTCCTAAAACACAAGATGAAAAGATAAAGCCTCACAGACAGTGAGGAATGCTGAAAACGCCTCTAGCTGTAACTTGTATATACAAATAGAAACTGGCTTCTTTTCCTACGCTGAGATCAATTTAAGTGGTGGCAACTACTGGAAAGAGGTGCATAATTAATCCTTCCCCTCCCCTTCTTTTTGCTCAGTGAAACAATATTTTCACAAAGAGCAGCTGTAGAGCAGTGTTAGAGAACAGAGAGGATGGCTTGTCCTGGAACAAAGGCAATACACTCACATACAAAACCAAACCAAAAGATCAAAAATAAAGAAGGCAGGAAAGGCAAGAAAAGTGCAGAAGAAAAATGAAATAATTAGCGCTTGAGAAAGTGCTAAGAGGAAATAAAGTGAAAAATTGGATGGCTGAAAAAGAGGCAACTGTTGAGATGGAACCTTAACAGAATGGCCTGGACTGCACATGATCAACATCTTGTTATAGATTACGTCCTGTGTTTCAAACCATTTATTAGGGTGTAACACGATGCATGGTGGGTACCGATTTAGATATCTGCCTGTTCTGTTAAGTGCTCTAAATATTTGAGTATGTTTGTAGAAACATAAAAAAGGCAGAAGGGGCTAATTATTAGCAAAACAATGGCTCCATTCTTATTAGCCTCACATGAATCTCTCTCTCATTTCCTCTTTATTCTGATTTAAAGGCTAGATATGCATGAAATAGTCAACTGTCCTGTAATAGTCTTTTGCAGAATTAAATGCACAAAGTGTGAGAACTATAAAAGTTTAATTATATTTCAAGATGGGAAGCAGTAGTCTGAAGATGAGTAAGTCACTTCTCCGTGTAACAGGGAGTTAAGAGACAACAAACAACACAGATCAGAGAAGTGGTTTAATCATGATCACCAAATTACAGGCACTTCAAGAAAGTTGTTACTATCTCTGATTTGTGGTGACATTCAAAGCTAACCAACTAGTAGTCTGCCTTCAGTAGGTTGTTCTATGTGTAGCACAGAAACAAACAAAATGTGACCCAACAGCAGTAAGAATACTGAAATAAAAATGATGGGATGGTGAGAAATGGAAAAGCCCCTTCCCTCCCTCCCCTCACCTCTCCCTTCAAAGGAAAAGTGTAGGCTATAGAAGAAAACTTGCAAAATAAATGTTAGAAACATATTTACTTTGAGGGATCCAACTCTACTAGCAACTCCTTTGCTTTCATCCGGCCGTCTAATTTGCTACAATGGGGGAAGATGGGTAAAAAAGACAGAAGAATAAAGAAAAAGTGAACTTAAAAAAATTTCCACACAATCAGTTAGCAGTACATGCAAGACATCAATTTGACTCTCTGAGACACCTCTAGAGGACAAAGACACAGACTCTAATTTCTGGAATAAACGATGCTTTATCATGGCATTTTAAACTTGCTTTGTTGATCATTTTTATTTCAATATATTACCAATCTGGCACATATGTTGCATGCTGAATTCACTAACATTTCTCAAAGAATACATGTTACTTATCTGTTTTGGATATGAAGAATAATGAAGTCCTAAAACTCTAACTGAAGAAAAAAAACCACCCTATACATTCTACAAATCATACGATCATAGTACGCTATAACTGGGAGTATCAGGCCTGGCAAGTATCATGACTGATACCTGACAGAATGCAATACAGATTCCTATTGACCCAGGCCCAGAGATTTTAGCCATTGCTATCAAGATTCCCAGTAAAAAATTATGCTGCCCAACCAGAAAATTTTAATGCCAGACCAACATTAGATTTTTATTTTAAATATACCATGTATATAATCTCTCCCCCAACATTTCCTACCTGATTACTTTTTCTTTATTACATACGTTTTTTTCGTAGATGATGCATAGGATGGAAGAAACAAATGAGGTAGTTGCTCAAAAGGCTTCGCACTGTTAGAAGCATGTAAAATAAAACATTCACTTACAGCAAAAGTTCTTTTCAGAATTGCTGAAGCCAGTAAATAAACCTCTTTTAACTGATAAACTTGTGTCATGTCATTTGAAGTAGAGAGGAAGACGACAATAAAAATGACTTTATGGATATCCTTCCAGTTTGAGGCAAGACTGAATTGAAAGTTTTTATTATCTGATGGTTGTTTCACAGGTTATGTAAAACAGTCCCACACAACTGAGGTGAACCCTTTCAAACCATATTAACTGTATTTTCTTTAAGAACTCTCAGGAAGGAATAGAAAGACTGAAGGAATCATGGAAATTCAACTGTGCTTTATGCTCTCTGGAGCACACTAGCAAAAGTACAAGTTAGATTGCCACTCTTCGTTTTCACCTGACCCATTGAAATGAAGAAATTCATATTTAAATCACAGTCAACTGAATGTTTGGGGTTTTTTTTACTTGCACTAGATTCTCAAGAAACTAATGCAATATTAACAGTTTAAATATGTAGTTCTGATAGGATGTCCGCTAGCAAAACACACTGGAGACATTCATATAAATTGCTGCTTTCCCTCCCTGGTCTTACAGCATTAAAATAGTATCTGTTTTGAACTCTCAAGTGAGACACTCACATTACGGTTTTGATGTGACTCCAAGCAAATCTCCAAGCAATTCTAGTATACTGATAAAGAAAAAACTGTCATTCTTAAATAAAATTTGTCCCCTTTAACAGACAGATTCAATTAAAACACATGCTGTTGTAACCCAGTTGCTATACTTTTCCTAATTAAAAAAAAAAAAGAAGCCTCAAGAGGAAAAAAAGATCCTTACTTGAAAAGAAAACAAGAGGAGTTAGAGCAAAGATACTTGGCCCAATACCCTGGCTGCGGTATTACCAGTCTCAGACAATAAGACATAATCAAGTAGAACTCCAATTCAGGTTAGTAATTTGAAACTTTTTTGAAATTATTCAATTTAGTTTTGAAAAATGAGAAATGATAAGAAAAAATAAATGCTGATAATCTCCCATAATAACATGGAACTAGGACATTAAGAAAAACGTTACATACCACAGAAACTTGTGGAAAAGTTGTAAGTGACAGCATATGCATTCCCCTTCAGGGAAAAAGTTTTTCTTCTGTTACTTACCAATGTGAGTATTGTGACTGCTCAAGTTGTGCTGAAGGTTTAGGATTCAGTCAGAAATGAGATTGGAGATATTACAGGTCGTATAACTGACATTATTTACTCTTTCTTTCTTCAAAATATATAGAGGAATAAGTATGCAATGTGTACATTGTGAGCAATGAAATTATAAATACCTGAAAATATAAATTACAAGGAGATATCCTGAGGTCAACTCTTGTTTTACATCCATGGCACAGTTAATATACACGATAACACGTTTTCTACAGGAACCTTGCAGAATGCAACTTGGATGCTTCTCAAGGGAAGAATCAGAGTGATACTAGCATTTCACAAACTATACTACATCTTTTCTGGGAATTAAATAGGGTATTACCCCCAAGAAAGCAGGGACAGCAGGAAAAACATTTTTTTTTTCCCGGCAAATGCCACAGAAAGGAATTCAGGTATATCCTTCTCTCTCTCTGGTCCTTCTCTTCTAGAACTCCTGTATGAAGTTCTAGAAGTTGACTTATAAACTAGTATTTCAGAAAATGGCAAGGATTATACTCTCTGTTTTTCAGAAACTCAGCTAGACACAAGAATCCCGTTACAGATGAACACTTGTAGCTAGAAAAGCTTAGAATGAAAGATATGCACATAAGTGTTCTAAATCAAAAGTCTGCATACTTCCATCCCCATTGGTCATCTGTGTGATCTAGAAATGAGTTCCTTGATTTTTCTATTACTCATTTGTAAAATGCAAACAATACTTTCTTCTAAGTAAAACATAGGGCTAATAAAAAGAACTTGAACAGTGAAATTGAAAACAAAACTTTGTGACTCAGGTTTTATGATTTTTTTTTTTTTTATACCATAAACACAAGCTAAATGGGTGGATGAAGAGATGAGGCAGGAGCAACACTAAGTACTCATTGGCAAAATGTCACCTGAAAGACATGAGGGTTTTGGAACATTTCGAAGGAGAAAAAGATATTCAATGAACAAAGCAGGAAAGGTGCTGTG